TCCCCCTCTCCCTTCCTCCTCCTCCTCCTTCTCCTCCCCTGGCGGCGGCGGCGGCAGCAGCAGCAGCAACAACAGCGGCAGTTCCCTCAGGCCGCGCTCATCCCCCCGGCCCGCAGCGCTCGCCGGCGCGGGGCTCCCATCATGGCCGCGGCTTCCGAGAGGGACGGCGGGCGGCGCCGCCACGCCCACCGCGACGCGTCCGCCGGGAACGACAAGTAGTCCCCCCCACCCCCACCCCCTCCGGGGATCCGCCACCGGGAGAGCGGAGAGCGGGGCGGGTAAGGAGGGGGGAGAGGCTCGCTGCGAGCGCGCCGCCCGTGCCCCTCCGCCCGCCGGGCACCCCCCTCGCCCCCAAGGGGCGAGGGGAGTGCCCGGCGGGCGGAGGGGTACGGGCGGTGAGACGAGGCTCGGCGGATGAGCTGCGGCCGGCGGGTCACGTGGGCGCTCGCGGCGGCGCCTCCCCCCGCGGGCGGAAGTGGCCGTGAGGGGACGGGGTGGCTGCGGAGCCCCCTCGGAGTCCCCTCAGCTCTGCCTCATATTCCCCCCCCCGAGCCACCTCAGAGCTCCCCGCGGGGCGCCCCGAAAACCCCTGCCAAGCTCCCCCACCTCTCCGAGCCAGCCCCCCCACCCCCCCCGCCCTCCTCCCCGCGCCGAGCGGAGGGGAAGAGCGGTCTCGGTGCGGCCCCCCGGTGAGGGAGGGCCGGGGAAGGGGGGGGTGGAAGGTGTGAGGGGTGAGCCCGGCGATTTGAGGGGGGTCACGGTGTGTCCTCCGCTGTCGCCCCGCGCCGCCTTTGGCGAGGAGGGAGCCGCGGTGAGCGAGCGCCGATCGCCCCCTGCGGCCACCGGGAACGGAGGGAGGGAGGGGGTTTGGGGCCACCTGCTGCCCTCGGATCGTTGAGGTGGGAAGAGCCCTCCCAGCCCGTGGAGCCCCCCCTGTTCCCGATGCCCACCTTGTCCCCCAGAGCACTGAGTGCCACAGCCAGGCCTGCCTTGGGCACCTCCAGGGCTGGGGACTCCAAACCTCCCTGCCAAGGCCTGACCACCCTTTCCAGCAAGAAATTCCTCCTGATGTCCCCGGGACAATGCAGGCATGGGCACAGGGACGGGACAGTCCCCCCGGGGTCGTGCCGGCTGGCTCAGCCCTCCCGGCTGTTTCCATGGAGTTTCCTGTCCCATTCCATCCCCCTTCCCACATGGATGGCAATTATCCTGGCAGGGGGAAAGCACTGTCTATAAACCTCTAAATCAGCCTTTAAACCCCGTCCTACAAGGTTCTTCACAGTCTTAAGCTGAGAACTCTTGCAAGTCTTTGGGAATTACCCGTTTTTGGGGGGAAAACGACCATCAGGAAACCTGGTGCAGCCTGAGCTGCTGGATATCAACACTGGCTGCAGTCTGGGACCAGTTTCCATCTTTCTCACTGTTTGGCAGTGGGATCCTTTGTGTGATTTTTTTTTTTCCCCTCTGCTGTGCAGAGAGGTGAGATATTGGGTTCCTGAGATAATAAAAACTAAAATTTGAAGGCAGTTTGGGATGTAGGATCTCTGCAAAGCATCAGGAATGGGATCTGTTGGAGATCACCATCTGCCCCAGCTGCTGAGGGATCAGGAAGGAGCTTGGCAGATGATACCTTTGGGAAAGATGGGATTACCAGGACGATCCATGTGTAAATTTAGCTCCCTCAAAAACAGTCTTCATGTCATTCCATTGCTGGGTAGTAAGGTGAGGGATACCCCGTGGAGGCCAAGGATAACACACCTTGAAAAAGGAAACCTTTAAAGGGTGGTTGGTTGTTTTATTAATTAAAAAAAAAAAATCTGCAAAGAAGAAAAAAAACAAGAGGAAAATTGAACCACTTTTTGTCCAGCCAGAAAAGAGACACCACAGAAAGGAGTGTCCCGAGAGGACGAGGAGAATCCATGCACCCCTTTTTCCACGAAAAGCAGGTGATGTAAACCAGGTGTCTCCCAAAGAGCCCAGATCTGTAAGTCCACCTCGAATGTTATTTGGGCTGGCAGGGGAAAGGCACCTCCCTGAAGACAGTCTGTGTATAAATAATGAATGTCAATAATAACCAAAAATCAGTCAATAAATAGTTGCTTCAGTGACTTGCTCCGTCTTTAAACACTTTTAAGAGGGGCTGGGGTCTGGCAGCAGATGCTGGAGCAGGAAAAGGAACAGGGGGAAGGGGGGAAAAAAAGCTCAGCTTTGCCTTTAAGGGCTGAAAATAAACTGGAACATAAGGTGGAGGGATTTCCTGGGCTGCTGCAGCCTCCAGCCTTTGCAAACGCCGTATTATATAATTCCTTTCATAAACGTATCAAGCTGCATCTTAAGATCTTCTGCCACCATTATTCCCACCGGGAAGCTGTTCCCAGAACCT